CTTACAGCAGCTGTGTCTGGTGAATATTTTTCTGACTTAAAAAAATTTGTTCTCCCTATTTGGAAAACTAAAAATATTAAATACTCATCAAGTACTTTCAGTAAATTCAGCCTTGCACTGCATACAGAAAGTTTGAAGCTATGTGTGACAATATAGTTTTGAAGGTGAGAGTTTCATGTTATGCTACCAAGATAGCCTCATGGGAAAAAACATGGCCTCAGTAGTGTTCTGAAAGTGACCTCATTTTGCCCACAGTAGGGACTTCACAGGACAGGGGCTGGTGTTGGCTTTGACTATTTGGGAAGCCTACATGGTGGGCTACTTTTATCAAAATGGAAAGGAAGGAACATGTCACAGCTGACAGAAACCCACAAGTCATGGCCCAGATTTCTTTTGGGACCTTGTCACATGAAGCAGAGGAAATACTTTCCATTGGGGAGTTAAAGCTTCCATTCTGATAGTATGTATATTACTAAGCAAAAAGCCCCATCCACTCCGTTGTCTCACAGAGTTGAAGTGACTTGTTTCAGGCCCAAAATTACTTAGCAGTGAAACAGAGAGTAGGACTCAGATCTTCCTGCTTCTGCTCTGGTGCTCTGGATAGCATTCGTCAGTGCTGAAGAGAAAACATTTCTAATCCTTCAAAAGCAGACAAGGGATGGGCCACTCACTTTCACTAAAACCTCCCTGAGATGCCTGGCAATGATTGAACTTACTTGAAAGTCTTGTGATTTTGCATATTTTGCTTTGACACCCCTGTCTTTCATAACAGTTAGAAGTGGATGTTATTTACTGATTATTTTGCTTGCAATTGATTTGCATATTGTTATTGCATATTGTTAAATGGTTTGCTGATTAATGCCTAATGTTGATTTGGACTAAATGTAATGGAACAAGCAAATACATTTGTAAATCTAGATATATAATTTAGTTGATAAATAGTGTTCTCAGTCTTAAAACTGTTGATTATTTGCTACCTACCCCTCACACAGAAATCCTGGACACAATTCCTTCCCACAGTCTACATCAGTATTTCCAATTTTTTGCCCTCTTTGTTTCTTATTAATTTGCATATCTAAATGATAAAGTTCCACTTCTTATAGGCAAATACTGCTTCAAAGCCCACAGATAAGAAAAAAATCTTTTAAATTCAGAAAGTGATAGATTTTTACCTAAACCATTTCTTTTCTGGAGCTCCAGAAGACAATGAAGTATAAGCTTAAATATTCATATTTTCCTGACCAATGTATTATATATCTTTACCAACAAGTTATATACATACAAAACATTTCTTCATTTAACTATTAACTATTTCAATTGATATCAAACTTGCAGGGACATATTGCTGCAGAGCCCTTTCAGGTCCAGTAAGATTTGGTAATTTATACACACATGTGCGTGCGCGGGCACACACACACACACACAGATACACACACAGGAAGACACCAAGCTGGTTAGCTGTTGAGTCAATCATATGAACTATTTAATATATTCTGCAATTGAGTACTATACACATGCTTATGTTTTGGTATATTTAGTACTTGTAATTACTCCATGATCTTTCTCAAAAATTCCAACCTAAACTTTTGATTTCTGTATTCATTTTATAAACATGTATCACTATTGATGAATTTTATGCTTTCTGTACATTTATAAATATTTTCTATTTGTAAATCCATTTAAATAGTCAAGAGAATATAAAGTTTGTTTTAATGTTTATGGTCTGTCTTTCAAATACGTATTTCTCTAATAATATTTATTGATGACTAGAAAGGATTCTTGAAAGGAATGTAGTACATTATTTTCCATGTGATTTTTTTTTTAAATGTAAAGTTTGGTTTCCACAGGTTTCAAATAGAAAAAAAAAATCAGTAAATATGAAATTGGGTGACAGACCCAAGTCTACATTCCCATACCCAGGTCGGTGACCTTGGGTTTATTGCATTTTTGTTCTTCAGTTTCATTTCTTTAAAATGAGAAGCTAAATCTTTAGAGCCTTATTCCATGACTTAATTTCATCAACTCAAAAGAAAATATGATTAAAAGATAAGTGTGGGCATAATTCCCTGGATACTTGTAACTTGCATGGATACAGCCAGGTTACACAGCCCTGGAAATTCCTTTAAGAAAACCAGCACTTTGTAGATGTGATATGAATGGATATGGAAAGAAATGTGATCCATTAAAAAAGGAAGAGGAACTGGGTTAGTGACACAGGAAGCCTGTTAGGCAGTAGAAGTGATTCCCTTTTTACTTCTTTTTGACTACAGTCTAGTTATTCCTATTTCAAAACCTACTGGCACCAGGTATTATCAACAGGGATGAGTAATATGTAATTTTTATCTTTACTGGGTTACATTTGGCCTGGAGACATTTGACAGCTGTCAGTCAGATGTCTGGCCAAGGAGGAGATGCATATAAAGCTGCCAAAATATTTTTGTTTCTTTAAATACTTATTAGCAAAGCATTTTAGCTGGAAATTCTGTTGTGCTGGAATTAAATAAATGTATGGTCATAATATAATTTATTGAAATTAATTGCTAGAAGAATCAAAATTTTCCCAATTGATATATGAAGTAAACAAAATGCTTTTCAATTGTCTTTAGAAACAGGAGAACAATTAATTTACTGTACTGTAAATGATCTACCTTTAAGACACAAAAATGTATGGCAAATAATGCTTTAAATGTGTAAATTTTAAGATGAAAATTGTACATCACAAGTTTTGACTGACTTAATAAAAGAAGCCATTCTGCTACATTGAGGAATTGACATAGCTATTTTTGTGACACAATGTTGAAAACTTTAAAAAGGACATGCATGTACCTTGATGGTGAACAAAGATTTATAGATTCTCATAACTGAAAGAAAAAAATCATGGAATTTTAGATTAGGTCAGAAACTCATGGCACAATTTTAATTTTAGTTATTTTGGATATTTGGGCTATATTTAACATTGTTTCTAATAGATTCTGTTATACTCAAAAATTGACAATCATAAATAATAGTTTGGCAGAAGCTTTTGTATTGTTTGTATTTAATGTTAGTAACAATCTGATAATTATAGCCAATACTAATGCACAGGAAAAGTTAACAATATAATTCTGAAGTTGACCTAAGAGTATGTGCTGTTCAATTTTGCCATAATTACTTCTCATCTCTAAAAGCAAGTGTTCTGATTCTTTACAAACATAGTACTTAGCATACTAGAAAAATTTTCAAGTGCATGGAAAATATAGTTATTCTTTAAGAGACTAATGAACTAGATAAAAAAATTCAGTGATGCTTGCTCAAGGGTCAAAATCAATATAATGAAACAATACAAAATATCATGTAAAAAGCAGTTTGAATCACTATATACTATATATGTATATATAGTTTTAATAAAATATGCTTTAATTTTCTGAAGTATATTCTACATGTGATTTATAATAAAAAGTAGATTTGAGTTTAATTTTTAAAAACATGGTTCACTAAAATGTTTACAGATAAAACTACTTTTTTCTTGTTTTTTTTTGGTTCCAGGGATTGAACTCAGGACCTTGCGCTTGCGAGGCAGGCGGCAAAACCACTGAGCTAAATCCCAGGCCCTGCATTTTAAAAATAAGCTTTTTTTTTTTTGGTTGGGTGAATCATTTCTGGTCAGATTTTAAACCACAAATATTTCATCATTTTATAGATAACTTAAACCACTTTAAGAGAATATGATATTTATAACTTGTGCTAGTATATCCAAATCATCATTGATTTAAAAATTATTTTAGATACAGTCTTAACAAAAGTCCAATCTTTTTTTCTCCAACATACAAATATGTGTTGTGTAGATTGGAAATTATTTATGTGATCATCAGAATAAAACAATTGCCTCATAGTCTTAGTAATTTATATTGGTAGGAGCCTTTCTCTTCTTAAGTACCAATTCTACCCCCCACAGTCCAGAAAATTGATTTTATGCATCATAATTTATAGCATTCTTAATCAATGTATGCTGTTGTGTCTTTTACATCCATTAGTCCATGTTGGTTGTGAATATAGAATTTGGTTATTAAAGTGGTTTCATATGTTTACTATGTATAGTCTGTAGTTTTGAGCTGCTCACTTGCTTAAATAAATGTTTTCAATTTGCTATAATACAACAATTTGTAGAAAAATGCTGTGAAGCATAGTTAAAAGAATGAGTCCTTGAAATAAAATCACTTTTAAAAAATGTGTCCTAACATGTGGTCTCATTTTTCCATTTTTTGCTTTAATTAAAATTCTGTTCTGAAAAAATATTTTTGCCTAAACTTTTGAATTCATAAAATAAAAATACCAAATATATAAATGTACTAATTTTAGAAATCAATGACATAAAAACATGCTTTAGTATTCTCATGGTTGTTGATTCTAAAGATTTTCTGTAGAAAAAAATCTTTGTAAAGTAGTAAAAAGTTGTTACTTTTAATTATTAAATATTCAGTATAATACATGCTTTTAAAATGTATTGAAATAAAGTTAATTCTACATTCCCTCTAATCATATTCCTATAGCATGCACATATTTTCTTTTCTCAAAAAGCACATGGAATGTTTGAAAAGATCCTATATCATTTCATATTTATATTTTGGAGTTTTATTGGAAAACAACATTTTATTCAGAAACATTTTATTCAGAAAAGATTGTGTCAAAATTAGATTAAGAAGAGATTAATCTGCTATTTATTCAGCCTAATGTCATATGTGTAATTAACTCATCTTTCTGACATAGAAGAGAGTAATCAAAGAGAGTGATGTTAAAAACATATAAATTATTTCTTTTACAAATTAAAAAAAAACTAAAAATCTTGTTAAACAATAACACCTCTACTTTGTTTCCCCAGCAAGCCCTGGGTTGAGTTAGATGGCTGCCATTCCAATGGTCTCATCAGCTTTGCAAGCATAGGCACCTCAGCGGGGCCTCTTCCAAGATAACAAAATCACCTTTTAGAGATTAAAAAATATATTTTGGCAATTGAAACTCACCAGCGCCTTTCTTGCTTCTCCAGAAAGTTGTACCCGTCAGCACCTGCTGAGGGTTTTGTTGTCCAAACTCTGACAGGTAAAAAAATTCCTGTAGAATAAAGCCAGACCAGCTGGCTTTGAAGAGAAACCCCCCAGTTTGGGCTGCGTTCGCCGCCTCTCCTTTTCTATGAAGACCGAGGCTTTGCCCCCTTGATGGTCAGGCCGTGAGATGCGTGATCCCTCAGCACAAGTGTCTGGCAGGCCGAGGCGCACCTGTTCGTGTCACTCTGGAGTAAATTTAGCTGTAAAGGTATCATTGACAACCAGACCTTTGTCAGTGCTGGCAAAAGAACACAGAATTAGTTCGCTCCCTTCCCCCTTCCCAAGCCCCTACACTGCTAGTTCCAATGGAAAATATCCAATCGGAAGTCTATCCAAAAATCATTCCTAAAAAAAATGAAATTGCTTTCATATGGAATAAAATAGTAAGTCTCCTCATTTCACGCAGGCTTTAAAATTACATTTCCAAGAATAATCTTGGAACGAGGCAAGTTTTTGTTCAATTAATTGTGGCTGGAAACTTTTTAATGGAAACATAGCACACACTTATTCATTTCAGGTTACTAGATTGTGTGAAGCATTCAAGTTAGTTGCCCTGCTTTGCTGTAGCTCATTTGTTCTTTTTGATCTGAAGAAATATTAGAAGGATAAAGCTTATCACATAGGGGGATTAATCACGTTACCAAAATTAGAAAGCATGTAGTTGTGAAAAACTGAGTTGCAGAACTGTATGCTCACAGCACTTGGGCTATTGGGAATCCAGGATGTCCCTGCCACATCTAAGATGGCAGCTCGTGTCTGTGGAAACCCCTGGCGCTCGGAAGCTGGCTAAGGCTAGGGTTCTCTTACATTGGTTAAGGTAAGGGCTTTTGTCATTTACGTGAACTTTTAAGATTAACTTCCTTACTGATGGCTTGAGAAAAATTCCTTTTGAAGAAAACTCGAAAGGTAGGCGGTGGTGTTCATCAGTACTTCAGAAGTAAATACAGTAGTGAAGATATGCAAAGCAGGCTAAGGAATAGAGTGTTTCACCAAGGCATTCTGAATTTTTGGCTTAATAATTAGGATTTCTTACAGTGGAGTTAAAAGGGCTTGTGCGTAATACCTGTTTGACCATATTATTGCTGTTTACAAAGGTTGGGTGTGAAGAGAAAAAGAAATCTGGGTCAAAATAAAAAATGCTTTGTAAAATAAACAAAGTTCCTATTTATTTACTATGTATAAATAGCCACTCACCGAGCCTCCTTTCTCTGCAGGGTGCCACTTTCAGATAAAAACATAGACCTGAATGGCATCATCCTGTCTCCAAGGAAACTGTGTAAGTACCTCACTCACTGTGTACTTCTCTTATTCAGAGTTTAAAAGCCAGCTGAGTACTGAATAAGTGAGTGTTTTTATTTAATAATTATATGGGAGGTACTTTTTAGGAGCTCGCTAAAAAGAAACAGGTTCTTGATTGTTATGTGCGTCATAACAAAACTCTCATGTTTTCATCATAGTTCATAAAATTATGTGTTTAGTCCTAACTGCTCCATCAATTCTCATTCTTAGTCACAAAACAGCTACTCAAAGTCCTAATGAATTGAGAGTTTCAAACTTTTCCAAGACCCGTTATTGTCCGACAAACTGTGTTAGAGGCCTCGTGCCAGGAGTAGTTTCCTAAGTGTAGTAAAACCCTGCTGAATTTTAAAAATGAAGAAAAATTACTTGAAAAAGAGTATTTTATTGGTAAACATTAATGTCAATTTATTTGGCTTTTGGTGGCTTGAGGAATAAGCCAGCGAGCCGAGATGAAGTTATGTTTTTTAAGTCAGCAAAGAATATAAAACTTAGTGTAATGAGCAAGGTACAAATATTTGGGAAGGGCTTGGGAGCCTGGCAGTATTGTTTCCTTTCTTTCCTTTATTTTATGCTTTGCTCCTAAACTAATGTACATTTGTGCAGATAATTTCAAGGTTTTTAATTCATCTTCAAGAGCTACACAATGTAACGTGGAAATTTAAGTTTAGTTTCTAAATACTACTTTGTTACTCTGGAGAAGAGCCATTCCAAAAATATTTGAAATTTCTATTAAATGTTTTGCTACCTATACTTCATTTTTTTATCATATTTGGATTACCTCCCTTTAAAATCCAATTATTTTCAGTAGGAAATGATTACTTACTATTGTTTATATATTTTTCATGAAAATACTCAAAATTTTCTATATACTCATGTAATTTTGCAATCTTTTTACCTTCCAGATAAGCTCTATGATTTATCTCATTTTTCAAACACAGACGTACTACTTTTCAGGAGCTGCATTTAAATCCAACTGCTACAACCCTGTGGTACTAGGAGTTTCTCATGTTATTTTCATGTACTTTTGTTACTTGCGTCTTTCCACTTTTCCTCAGGAGTGTGATCCCTTGCTGAGCATAAATAGTAGAGGTGACCTCACTTAGCGTCTCAGACTCCTCCCGTTTAATATTTATCTGTAGGCACATTTCAGTTTATCACTTAACTGTCAAAATGCAATAGCTACGCATTTCTGTGTTTATACCTTTTTACGTGTTTTAACAAATGCACCTTTCTGAATTGAGAAATAAGTTGTGTAAGATTAAGGAATTTGCTAGAACTTTGGAAGGGCCCAAAGATCTCTGAACCCAATAAAAAGGAACAAATCTGGAAGTTAGTCTTTCATGCCAATTGGAAGCTTCACAAATATGGAGTTTGAGGCCGGAAGGCTGCTCTTTGAAAGAGAAATTCCTGGGTGCAAAACAAGGGGGCGGGGCTTTTGCTGGCTAAAGTTGGAGGTAAAGGAGGGTTAAAATAGATCTTTGTCTCAACAAAAATCTGAAGCAAGCAAACAAAAAAGAACCTTCTAGCGGAAGTGGGTTGTCTTCTTCTAATTTGTTATTTTGAGGAAATGGAATCTTTTGACATTAATTCTTGTAGTGAGAACAAAAAGATAATATACACTGTGACACCTGTGGAACAATTTTAAATAATTACATTCAAATAGAGGTTTTGGAAAAAATTATAAAATTGATAAATTTAATTCAATCTTCTATACCAAGGGGAAAATGAAAACAGATATGTATGGCTGTGTTTTCACTGGCTATTTTACATTATAAAGAGGGCCATATGTATCTCTATCTCTCTATCTATAAAATACTCTTTTTCAAGTAATTTTTCTTCATTTTAAAATTCAGCAGTGTTTTACTACACTTAGGAAACTACTCCTGGCACGAGGCCTCTAACACAGTTTGTTGGACAATAATGGGTCTTGGAAAAGTTTGAAACTCTCAATTCATTAGGACTTTGAGTAGCTGTTTTGTGACTAAGAATGAGAATTGATGGAGTGGTTAGGACTAAACACATAATTTTATGAACTATGATGAAAACATGAGAGTTTTATTATGACGCACATAACAATCAAGAACCTGTTTCCTATTCAGCCGTAGTCAACACTGTTTGGTAGAACTTTCTGTGATGACAAGCACATTCTACAGCTATACTTTCTAACAGGGAGACTGCCAGCCATATGTGGCTATTGGGCATTTGAATTGTGGTTACTACAGCAGAGAAATTAAATATTGAATTCTATTTAATTAATTACATTTACAAAAACCTGAATGTGACTAGCTGCAATATTGGGTAGCATAGTTCTAGTCTAGATCATTTAAAAAATGTAGAGAGATTAAAATATGTATACATTTAAAATCATTGTCACTTACTTTTTATCTGTATGTCAACTATCATGGACCAGAGGTACCATCATTAATATCTAAAGAAGAAATATGCTCCAATATTTCTTTAGATGAATTTTAAGAAATATTGTCATGTGATTCACTAAATTTCAAAAGTAGTATCGTGCTTTCATCAAAATGAAAAACCCTACTGTGGAGAATTTCTAACCCTTTGGCATATTGTAATACAATGTCATTTTGTACATTTACCTAACTATTTAGATTATTATTGCAGTGGAGTTTATTTATAACATTTTCCCAGAGATGAATGCTTTTAATATTGTTGATGGAAGGACATTGTAACATTGCTTTATAAGCTTGGGATAGCAACTTTTTAAAAGGCCATTATAAACATCTCCTTCAAAAAGATATTGTAATGAAAGTTCTAACTGTGGTGATAAATATTTGAAAAGTTCAGTTACAATTTCTGCAATATATCCTTGCAAATAATTTCAAAAATGTAAGCTGCCTACAGAGAAATTCACTTGACTTGCTTCTTCACAGCTGAGTCTGCTCCCAAAGCTCACATCAAAGTTTAAATTTGCTCCCATGGCTTTTTGAGGCATTTAGTGAAAGTAAACATTAAGATGCATGATGATATTTTTATAATAATACTAATAAGGTAATATGTTAGGCAAAATCGTTATTTGCCAAGTGATGCTGCAAATTTTAGATTTGCATACATTTAAAAAAATCAGTCAGCTCATTTCTTTGTAAGACATTGATCTAGAGGCTATGAGAAATACGTTTTAAATTTGGAAACATAATATTCATCCTTTTAGGAACTACATTTGTTGGACTTGCTCTTATCTTTTTGGATGGATAAAATTCTGATAAGTAGAGAGAAGAGACTTCTTTTGGCAGAAACTTGGACAAGCTATTCAGAGTGTTTCTTCTAAAGCAAAACAACTAGATTCAGGATAAAATATAATTTATAATGATTTATTTGACTTTAAAAAAATTTGAACATCTCCAAAGATTCCTCATCTCAAAACTCAAAGCTCAAAATCTGTGAGCGGAAACTGGAGTGGAGAGAAATTAGCAAACAGGAAAGGTGGATTGCATTGCGTAGGTTGCATTTTCCAGGATGCTGTTGGAAGGATGGCGGCCCTACGTTCAATTAGTCTTTTCATAAACCCGGGCTTGTTTTACAGATAGAGAGAACAAGTAAATACATCTGTAAACCCAAGTATTCTACTTCCTTTTATGTCTTTTGATATCTTCAGTAAGGTAGCCAACTACTTTGTATTGATCGACCCACTTTCACGAAAAGGCCTATCATTGCTCAGAAGCCAATGTTCTAGGTTGAGAAAACATAGTCTATCTTAAAGAATCTTATAAAGCAGTTCTCAGTATCTTTATAAAATATCACCTCTGATATTTGTATGCCTGTAAAAGTGTTTTTATTTAGACA